ATCGTCCGAGTGTGCGTGTGGGGGGTCCGGAGTTATGCGCTCTTTTGCGATCTTGGGGGTAACAGGTGCGTTTGGCTGAGCTGTTACCCCTGTCTGTACCCCCCCCCGTCGCCCCTTTCCTTGTTTGGCCGCGTAGCGCAGGTATTCGTCCCGCCTCCTGTCTTCGAAACCCTGGACCGTGTCCCAGCACTTCCTGCTGCTGCCGCGGCAGTTCTGCGTCTTGTTTTTCGGCGTTTCCCTGAACGCCTTTGTGTCGGAGCAGCCATGCAAATGAGCCTGTCACTGCACCGGACAAATAAAGCCCGTGATCCGACCCCAGGGGGCCCACCCACGCGTGGGGGGGATTGTCGGGGTCAAGAGTACAGCCCTAACGGGGATATCGGCACGTAGGACGCGATTGCGGGAGGAGCGGCGTGGAGAAAAAAGACCGATTGCGTGGACGGGAGAAATCGTACCAGGAAGGACGTCGTCGTCACGAAAGGAGAATTCGCTGCTCCTCTCCGCGGGTGACCGGGAGTCCGATCTCGGGCGGCCCTGCTCGTCCTCGCTGAGAGACCTCACAGCTGAATACCAGGGGGTGTGCGCTGAGCCCCCACGTTAAAGACACCCTCATTGTGAATACAAGCCGGAGGTCGGTGGCGTGTTACTGTGTGAGGCTTTGTTGGGGTGGCTCTGTGGCTGGGAGGTTGCCGGTTCGAATCCCACAGCCGGCAGAGGAATCCTACTCCATTGGGGCCCCTGAGCGAGGCCCTTCACCCCCAGCTGCTCCAGGGGCGCCGTATAAATGGCCGACCCTGCGCTCTGACCCCCAGCTTCTCTCTCCCTGTCTGTGTGTCTCATGGAGAGCAAGCTGGGGTCTGTGACATTCCCTACTGCAAGAAATCGTATATGGCCGAGAAAGTGATCTTGTTTTGCCCTGTTTCTCAGGGTTTAGCGCTCAGTAAATATTGCTTTTCCACCTTGATAGCGTGAGGAAGAGGGTGGAGCATTAGACCAGCGTCTTTCTGAAGCAGTGCCATCTTTCTAGCATCGCTGAAAGTTTAATTGTTACTAAACGTCCTGTTTCAATATTACTACCTCTTGTGAAGCAGAACGTGACGTCAAACTTCTTCAATCTAACCGGCGCAATTAAGGGCATCAAGCCAATGTTTTGCAAGTCGATCCCAGACTGTTGTGTGTGTACTCACAAGCAGTTGGGTTTTCCAGCCTAGCGACAGCCCTGCAGGGGGCACGCTTGCCCCCACAAACTCCGCTCGACGAAATAATTAATAATAATAATCATTGCTTACACTTATATAGCGCCTTTCTGGACCCTCCACTCAGAGCTCTGTCCAGGTCATGGGGATCCCCTCCACCCCC